TCTGTTCTCTCACAAGAGAAAAATATCCCAAATAGTACGCGAACAGAAAATTTGAAGAAACTTGCAAGTTAGACGAACAGCTGTTATAATTTTTGCTTACATTCAAAAGTGTAAAATTTAAAACGTACGAAAAGTCATCACAAAGTGTTATACTGGCACAGTTTATTGATTAAACAAATAACTACTTATTTCTTACAATTTTAATTAGTCGCATTTTGTAATTTTTAACTTCCAAACCATCAAATTCAATTTTGTGCTTTGCGTAAATGCCAACCAGCTGTTTTTAATCAGCTGTTTTCCTGTTGGCAAATTGCTGTTGGCAAAATTTTTTCCAGCAGAAACCAGCAGCTTCCCCTCAAAATGAAATGTCACTTTGCTCTCTCAATTTCCCCTACTTTGCAAGTTTTTTGCGTACGCGAACGCAAAAACTTGTAAGTTTTGGTTAAACATGAACAATTAACAGCTACGCGAACGCAACTTTTATTGAATCATGTGTCAAACTCCAAAATATGCAAAAGAATGAGAGACAAAAGAAGATAGGATATAACCCAGTAAGCATTAAAAATATACAAAGGTGTTTTCTGCAAAAGGTGTTGAGCTCCTTTTCTTCGCAAAACAGAAAGGAGAATTCTACTGCCTGAGGGTTATAATCCCTAAGTGCGGCCGAAGGCCTCCTACGCAGAAAGGTGTTATCTGCAAAATGTTGTTGTTGTTGTTGTTGTTGTAGCGGCTACAACAGCCCCGCCCAGGAACGTTGGTATCTCAGTCGTTGTCGTCAAGTTCCACTAACGGCAACCCTAGGAAGCGTGCGGCTTCTGTGGGGTTGGTCCACAGGGACAAGGCCGTTAGGGTTGTCGGGTTTCCGGGCATGCGAAGAGATGTTTCAAGTCATGTGGGGTCTCTCCGCATGCCGGACACTCATTCGGCACATCCTCATTCAATCTACTCAGGTAGGAGTTTAACCTGCTGCAGTAGCCGGAGCGAAGTTGTGCTAGTGTTGTACGCGTCTCCCGAGGCAGATGAAGCTCCGTCTCGTCTGTGTCCAGGGGCGGTATGCCTCGAACGGCATTCACAGGTCCGGAGTCTACATAACTCGAGACTGACTCCCTGTGAATGCCCTTCAGGGCCTGTCGGTAAGCAGTCGGGTCCAGAGGTTGCTTGATGAACCTCTGGTCTTCGTCCGTCAGTCCATATAGATGCCTCCTGACGTGCCTAGGCGAGGGCTCCTCTGCAAGCAGCTGTCTGTTTGGGTGGCCGCTTCTGTGGCTCCCGATCAGGAACTGCTTGCAGAGCATTATATTGTGCTCCTTTACGGGGAGCATTTGCGCCTCGCCGTGAAGATGGTGTTCGGGCGACATCAGGAGGCATCCTGCAAAAGGTGTTCAGCCCCCCTTCTTTGGCAACACAGAAAGGAGAATTCTACTGCCTGAGGGTTATAATCCATAAGTGCGGCCGAAGGCGACCTACGCAGAAAGGAATTCTACGCAAAAACACATTTGTTAAAAAGAACATTTTTTTTATAAAAACTTTTTTTTTCTATTTTTGATTAACTTTTTTATTCTTTATTCCAAATCGCCCGATATCTAATTTGGCACAATTTCTTTTATTAAATAATCCCACGGTTTCTTTTAGTTGGGTCATATTCCATTTCAAACTGCTTAGTTTGCCTAAGAAAATTCTGTTTTTCCCCCTTTTTCAAACGGTTCCCTAGGGGCCTGTGGGAGGAGCCCAAAAGGGGAATACGCCTTTCTAGTGATCGCTACTAAACTTTTCCCGAAATATGCCCTTTTTTTTGTAAAATTCGTAGTTTAGCGTACATTTATCACTCCTTTTCTCCTTAAACTATCCACTTCACCAATACATTTTTGTATTCCCCTTCACTTTACACTTTACTCGATTAGTTATAACTCATGATACAATAGCACAAGGTGGTATCAGTTGTGACAGCTCGATTTGACACTGCCTTAGCTCAGTAGAATAAGAGGACAAACGGGCAGAAATTAATCCCCATTTGGGAGAAAAATATAAAATTTCATGTTTTCTTCTAAACAAAATTTGCTTTCTTATAGTATATTCGTAATGAAATAAAATAAAATAAGATAAAATACCATTTTGAGAAAACAAAATGTGTATACTGAGAAAAAATAAAAAAACATTCCACTATATTATTAGGCAAAGAATTGTTAAAGAAGTAACACTGTTTCACCTAAGGCATTCAACATGGCGGAATTAGAGCGAGAAGCTGCCAACCGATAACACCTTGTATTATTGCATCATGGTTATAACTTGCTTTACGACTTTAATATTAACCCATTAGTCACAATTCGTTAAATAAAAACACCTTCAAAATCACGCGTCTGACTTTGGTTGCATATTCAATTAAAGTTGCGTTCCAGATAACTTCGTGTAAAAACCTGTAAAATTGTCAAATAAGGTCGGTGTTATGCAGAAATTTTCTTTGGCAAACTGCGTGCAATTGTTGTTGCAGCAAACTCGGAGAGAGCGAGTTTGGCAACTCTCACAGCAAACTAATTTAGTTTGGTTAAATTGCAGCAAATTCGGCGTTGTCATATACAAAAATTTTAGATAATTGTTGCTATACACAAAATACTCATTTCGTGTTGGCAATAGCCATGAAAACCATAATGAACGTGCAACCCTGTGCCAAACTCGACATAACCACCTCCGAGCAAACTAAGCAGCCGCCATTTAATTTGGCAAACAAAATTTGTCTGCATAACACCGACCTAACAAAATTACTCTCTTGAAAGAGAGGAGCGAGAGCGAATCAATAAAGGTCACCTGGAACTCGAAAAACCCCTTTTCCTGCAACTACTTCGATTTTTTTTAATGAAAAGTGCCATGGAGACGATCAAATATCTTTATCAACCGTCTCGCGTTATGCTTGATAAAAAACAAGCGCACTTGCCTTCTGATCGTCGTGAGCAAGTGCGCGGACAAGAAAAATAAATTGTTTGTTTAATTGACGAGTTTATTTGAACGTTTGCGAGCCAATCTCATACATATGCAATGCTTGACGTATTTATTTGATTGTCTCCGTGGCGCTTAAGGTTCTGTTTTTGTTTACAAATGCAACCCTGCCTATCGTTAGACACTTTTCATGAACTTGCAGGAAGAAAAACTTCGGACTAAAACCTGCAAGTTCTGCCTGAGAGAGAGAGAGCAAGTTACTCTCACAAAAGTGGTTTGACTTAGGTCGATGTCATGCAGACAAATTTTGTTTGCCAAATTAAATGGCGGAGGTGGTTATGTCGAGTTTGACACAGGGTTGCACGTTCATTATGGTTTTCATCACGATCCAGAAAATAAAGGTCGCGCCATTCGCGGACCGCTAACCCTCTCTTCGTCGAATTGACAGCATCCACCTAATCGCTGACGTCATAAAATACTTTTGTTTACATTCCCTGTTGCCAACTTCATGCCTTTCGCACCAAATTTAGTGGGTATTCAAAACCCGAAAATTTTTGAGTTTGGTGCTTAACGCGTTTTGGTGCTTTTGTTTTCAGTTTCAAGACACCAAATTAGAAAATCTTAAAAAATGGAAGCAAAATTTATAGCAATCGTAAGTGTGGTAAGCAACTTTACAACAATTTAAACAAAATCATGGCACAGTGACAATCATAAGCGACAACAAAATATGTGGCAGCACCTTCAATCATGCCAGTAGAAATCAACCGTCGTGCAAGAAACATTGATTTTTATTAATTTGAATCGGCATCCTTACAATAAAATTATGTATGCGTATAAAGTCTATAAAATACACCAATAAAAATTTGGTGCTTTTTCAAATTCAAAACTTGGCAATGCTGTCTTTTGTCCCATGCTTCCTCTTTTTCTTGTCGAGTTCGTCTTGCTCTCTCATTCTGGTCTTTATTGACGTCACGGCCAGTTGCTCTCAGCTCGATTGGCGCAATCTTGTATTCTATCATTCTTGGGTTTTCATGGCTATTGCCAACACGAAATTAGAATTTTGTGTATAGCAACAATTGTCTAAAATTTTTGTATATGACTACGCCGAATTTGCTGCAGTTTGACCAAACAAAATTAGTTTGCTGTGAGAGTTGTTGTTGTTGTTGTAGCAGCATACAAATTCCCCAAAGACATTTTGGGGAGTGTTGCTGGAGTGACAGTCCTTGGCCAGATATAAATCTGGGTCGTTCCGGTTACGTAGACCCGACTGTCGTGGGAACGTGCTGTGAGAGTCGCCGAGTTTGCTGCAACAACAATTGCACGCAGTTTGCCAAACAAAATTTCTGCATAACACCGACCTTACAGGTTTTTTGGCACCTGTAACGCTTTCCTGCAAAAAAAAAACCTGCAAATCGTGAATATCGTGAGCATCTGGAACGCAACTTAAATGGCGGAGTTCAACTGTCAAACTCCAAAATATGCAAAAGAATAAGAGACAAAAGAAGATAGGATATAACCCAGTAAGCATTAAAAATATACAAAGGTGTTCTCTGCAAAAGGTGTTCTACTCCTTTTCTTCGCAAAAGAGAAAGGAGATTTCTACTTTCTGAGGGTTATAATCCCTAAGGCCGCCTACGCAGAAAGGTGTATCTGCAAAAGGTGTTCAGCCCTGTGTTGGCAGCACAGAAAGGAGAATTCTACTGCCTGATGGTTATAATTCTTAAGTGCGGCCGAAGGCCGCCTACGCAGAAAGGCGTTCTCTGCAAAAGGTGTTCAGCTCCCCTTCCCGAACATTTTCCCCGCGTATTACTACCGTTAACTTCGAATTTCCGTAATATGGTGTTTACATGAGGCGATTTTATAGATACACAAAATAGGATAATCTATCACAGAAGAGAAAAGAAACTTTTTTTTAAGTTCTAAATTCAATGAGAGAAAACTATTCACGTACGCCATAATTTCGCAGTATTATCTTAAATGGTTATTTCTTATGAATGTACATACATATAATTGCATATTACAGTAATTAAAGATGGGTAAACATAAAAATTATATCATATAACCATTACCTTTACACAAAGTGGATACCATCTACAATCTACGCGGCTCCCAGAAAGATTTATAACAGAAAGTGTTTTCCCTAAGTTTCTAACATCTCGGCGCAGTAAGCATGTCCGGGCCAGAGAAATTTTTGAGCTAAGATCATCAGAACGCATACCCTTCAAATCATTGTCGAAGCTGCGATGAATGGGCTTAGAGCAGGCGCTGTTCCGGTCCGACCAGATTATATGCTGTGAATCATTTATCACTTCCAAAGTTTTCTCGAATATACTTCTAGGAATTTTTATAAATTCGCTGGTTTTTTTATCTTTTTTACGTCTTTTGATAGTACGCCTGGTTGGCAAAGACATAATTACTAGAGCAACACTTGTTTACAAGAGATTATAAGAAAATAAAACACTAATAGTTGCAGATTAGTTTTCTTCTTTTGGGATACAAGGTGGACCACATTTGCGAATAAGAAAGTTATGTGGGGTGTTCACGGAAGAGATTATGTAACCAGTTAACGATTTTTTCGATATAAATGTTGTTGTGCCAACAAGTGCAATAGCGATCCGAAATTTTCGCTAACTGGTTATAGAATCACCTCACACTTCCTTTGGCATAAATGCAGTTGGGCTCCAATTCTCAAATTAAAACAAAAAAATTTGGAATCGATAGAGAAGATTGAGCTGAGTATAACGGTATACTTCTTTGTTTGGGCAAACAACAACAACAAGAATTATCAAAGGTTAACAGCCCTATTCTAATAAAACCTCACAACTGAGTTGTGAACAAAAATTTGTGAGATTTCTTGTGAGGTCAATTTTGTGAGGTTATTCTTGCCCACACCTCATAAGAAAAAAGCTCAACCAAATCACCACACGAGGTGAAAAGCATTTTGCTGTCGTAAATAAAATAAATACAAAAGATGGATGCTGAACAAGAGGAAAAGTAAATATTTTTGGAAATTTGTTTATTTTTTTGATAATTACTGACTTTATTTATTTTCTAGGCGAATTTAAAAAGAAATAACAAAGCAATAGTAGCTCCAGTACTTCACATAGTTTACAATCCACAACTTGGTGCACAAGTTTGTATGGAATTAAAATCCTATGCCTGCTCTAACTCTTCCGAAACTGCCGCAAAAACAAGCAATAACTCCGCCATTACTGAATATACTTTTAGTTAAAAAAAAAAAACTTAACTCAGACACTGTTAGCGGACGAAAATTAACAAAACATTATTCAATTGCTCAATAAAAATCGGCTGGTTTTCTCTTGTGAGGGTCTCCTTCGTACATCATAAATTTACTGACAATTGTGAGCGTATGAGCTTTTGAATTTACGCCAGCATAGGGATAACCTCACAATAGTCAGAAACCTCACAATAGTGAGTGTGGTGATTTTTGTGAGGGTAACAGAATAGGGCTGTAAATTTTAAGTTGGTACTTAGCCAGAAAAGTCGAAACTAAGGCGACTATGAATAGCTTTAGGTGTAACTTAGGATAGTTTCGACTTAGTTGTGAACTAAATATGACTATGAATATGCGCCCTTGGTATTTTAATGAAAGTATTTTGCATCCCCAAGGAACCTCAGTACTTTGGACCAGAGTATTTAGCGCCTGCTAAATACTTTCATTTTTTGTACTTTGGTATCTAGCAGCTCCTAAATACTCAAGTTTTTCTTACTTTAATATCTAATAGTTCCTAAATACCTAAATATTTTTTACGTGGGTATTTAGCAGCTCCTAAATACCTAAGTAAATAGTACTTTGGTATTTAGAACAACACAAAATACCTAAATAATTTTGTGCGTAATACTTAATATTTAGTAAATACAATTTTGCCTATCACTGACTTATATATATAAGGGCAAAGGTGGAGGGGAATATGTAGATGAAGAAAATAATAAACTTAAAAGTAAAAACAAAGATGAGGATGAGGATACCGATAAAAGTAAAGATGAAGATAGGGGTAGAAAGGTTAAAATAAAGGTAATTAAAGAGGAAAGGATATAGAGAGAGACACAGACTCAATCCGGGAAATATTTTGGGATTTTAGAGATTTTCCGGCTTCTCGAAACTTATCGATAAAATAATCGAAATTTTTATCGGTTTTGTTATCGATATTCTTATGGATTTTGTTATCGAAATTTTTATCGATATTTTTATCAATTTTGCTTTCGATATTTTCGAGACTTATCGACACAATAATCGATATTTGTATAGATTTTGTTATCGATATTTCTATCGACTTATCATCGATTTTATAATCGATATTTTTAACTATTTTGTTAGTGATATATTTTTATCGATTTTGTCATCGATATTTATCGATTTTGTTATCGATATTTATCGATTTTGTTATCGATGTTTATCGGATTTGTTATCGATATTTATCGATTTTGTTATTGATATTTATCGATTTTGTAATCGATATTTATCGATTTTTTATCGATATTTATCGATTTTGTTATCGACATTTATCGGTTTTCTTATCGATGTTTATCGATATTTATCGATTTTTTTATCGATGGTTATCGATTTTGCTATCGATATTTATCGATTTTGTTATCGATATTTATCGATTTTGTTATCGAGATTTTGTCGGTTTTGTTATCGATGTTTATCGATTTTTTACCGATATTTATCGATTCTATTATCGCAATTTTTATCGATTTTGTTGCCGATATTTATCGATGTATCTATTGATATTTATTATTGAAATTCACGTAAGATTTAACTGCCATCGATGATATTTATGCTGGCCATGTATGTACATATATCGTTTGTTAGAAAAATTTGTTATTGAATAGCGTAGTTCAAATTAACATAAGTGATGACAGCTAAGCACAAAATGGGTTCAATATCGGATAGTAGTTTTTCTGAAAATTGCAGATAAATTGTATTGAATATAAGCCATCGATATATTTATTAAATATGACACAAATTAGATATGTAACGTAAGTTTCACTTCTACAGTGTGGCCCAGGCGCACTTACTTTTTTTTATTAATTTGTGTTTCTTCCATAGAATCCCACGAGTAAGGAGGAAGAGAGAGGTCATCCGAGGCAAAGCCACGGTGCCCCGGAAAGACTTAAGCTCGGAACACTTTGACGACTGCAACTTCACGACGTAACGACAGCGACATCATTTTGTCGACAAATGTCGCCTTGAAGCCAGCTTCTTAAACATTTTGAAGACCTCAGCGACATAGCAAACAGCTGATTTTAAAGTTTGACATTTTCGTATATTTATTTCACAAATTGTGTATTTTTATTTAAGTAAATAAGAAAAACATGAACAATCAAGAATATGTGATTAATTTTGCGACAATTTAATTTTGCAGCACTACATCTACTCATTGTCGCCGGCAAAATTAGAAATAGATTTAATTTGGCGACGTCGACAATTGCAGTCCTGCAGCCAAGATGTCGTGCTGTCGTCAAAATAATTGTGTCCGTAAGAACGTGTGTATTTAAAATTTGACAGATGCTGCTTGTCGCTTGCTGTCGTCAAAGTGTTCCGAGCTTAAATAAAACCAGACGGCGCCACGTGACTGGAGTACGTAGAAAGACACACTAACGTAGTGCCATTCAGTCCGCAGGCACGGTCCGATTAACACCTGGCCTTACGGATTTTATCGAGTTGTTCTCTCTAGAGCCGCCATATTCACTAAAAGCAAAGGCACCTCTCGCAGGGTGTGACTCTTCGCCACGTATGGTCGGTCTTGAGCCATCGACTGCCCCTGATCCAGAGCACTGCATCACGGGTGATAACAGCACCAAGAACCTTGACCCCCATAAATGTAGTAATAGTCTCATTTAGCTGTGTTGTTTTCCCACAAGAATGAGAGAATACAAGATTGCGCCGTCCTGGCCGTCGACAGTTGTGTACCACAAGTAAACAAAGAATAGAAAAGAAGAATGAATTTAAACTGCCAAAACAGTTCACTTTACAGCGGAAAACGTGTTTTAATTTTGCTAAATGCGAAAATATTGCATTTTCACACAATCTATTAGAGAATAGTGAACGTTTTAGTGCACTCGATTGCTTTGCAATCAAAGCTGCTGCAGCAAACGTTTTAGTGCACTCCATTGCTTTGCAATTAAGACTGATGCAGCAAACTACCGGCAGCATCTCACCGGGATTGATTAGTTAACTTGCTAAAGGAGGATGCTTGGAGCAGAAGCGAAGTCATTGTGATGCAATGCTGTCAATATAATAATAAAGATTCATTTCGAGAACGGCTTTACCTTGCCCTATGTACACAAAATGCAGCGATTCGTCGCAGCGCTACACTTGCATCTACGCACCTCGCATCTTGACGGCTGTCGAAATTTAACACATGGCACTTCTTTTTTTTTTAGTTTTTACGCAGTCTTCAACTCAAAAATTAATCCCGAATTGGCAATTAACACCATTTAAACTGATTTTTCACTTATAATTAAAATTCTCTTTGTCGCTGATTTGTAAACAAAGTTTTATTTACAAGTTACCACAACTGTCAAAATCGGAAAAACCAAAGTAGAGGTACCACTGACGGCGCCACCTTTGTTCGATGCACCGTGCTTTTCCCACAATCAAATAAGTTGTAAATCTTTCTAAGGTTATAACTTTCTGCCCTTTCATAACAATTATATCAACAAGTATATATTAGTAATATGCCGTTATTTTTGCATTAGTCGTTAAATATGTAGGTGGTTGCCAATTAACGACTATATGAAGCGGTTTTAAATATTTTTATAGCAATTTATTATAAAAAAAAATAAAATTTTTTAAGCTCAATTTAATTATTATATTTTTTGTATGGTAATTACATGACTTTTATTCAAACATTTCATTTTAAGTAAAAATATCGTTTTATATTAAAAATCGTTGCAGGCAAAAATTTATACAGCTGTTTATTTCACTGTCAGCGGATGTGCTTAAACTTAACCATATAAAGTTTATACCAATTTAAAGGTATTTCTCTGCTCTTTCTAATAAACACATCATTTATTATAGTTAATAACGTATTTTTCTTAGAAAAACGTACATTTTTATAAAAAAGGCTATAATTAATTTTTTTTTTAAATATGTATATAAGATATATAAAAATATGCATATCAAATAAAAGGTCTATCAATTACCATATCCACATTTTGAAATAGTTTTCGAAATATAAGTTTTTGAAAATATTGGCGAATATTCATAGTCATATTTATTTCACAACTAAGTCGAAACTATCCGAAGTTACAACTAAAGCTATTCATAGTCGCCTTAGTTTCGACTTTTGTGGCTAAGTACCAACTTAAAATTTTGTTTCGGCTGCAGTTGCAATTAAGTCATAACTAGGAAGAAGTATATTTTTTAAATTAAGGAAAAAAAGACGAAATATGTAAAAATTAAGTTGGCAGAGCGTGATTTTGATAATATTGAATGAT